TTTGGTACACATTATTTTTTTCATTCTCATTTTCAATCACACATTTTTCAATAAAATAATATTTTCCATCATATCAATAATTTTTCCTTCATTTTTAACGACACATTCTCCATCAATCTACTATTCAATAATACATTTTTTCAAAAAAATGTGTTCCAAACACACTCTTAATATTATTGAAAAATCAATTTTTGTCAAAAACTTTCATAGTTTACCCCCATTTAATTATCAATTACTAATAGTAAATTATTATTGGAAGTAGTAAATAAATAAGGGTATATTAGTAAGCGAAAAAAACAAAATATTCTTTACAAAGAAATAAGACTATATAATTGGAACAAGAAAATAAGGAAAGTGAGTCTATATAAATAAAACGGAGATAGTAGTATTTATAAAGTTTGCCTAACCGTAAAAGTTGATCTTTATCAAGCTTTACTTATAAAGATTTGTAATTAAATTTTGTCTTCAATCACGCTTTTATCCCTATACAATAAAAGAGAGGCTTTTTATTTTCGTACTATTCATTCTTTTTTTTATTTCCACTATAAAATAAAAGAGTGAGTTTTTAATGGCACGACTCTTAAGAAATTGTGCCCCAGTTACTGCTTTCATTTGAAAAGTTTTGTTTTCTCAACCACACAAATTTAGGAGGTGTTTGGGAGAGATTTTCAATTTCAACAGTAAATCAATTCTCATTTTCAACCACACATTCTTTAATAAAATAATATTTTTCATCGCATTAATAATTTTTTCTTCTTTTTCAACCACACATTTCTCATCATATAACTATTCAAAAATTAATTTTTCTCCCAAAATTCCTCCCAAACAAGCTCTTACTCTTCTATTTCACTCTGAATCGTTTTGTCTTGTCTCTCTCTCATTTTTCTTTTCATTCAATCACGCACAAATCCAGAATCTCTCTCTTGATGCTCTTTTTTCCCCCCTACTTTGCCTTCTCAAGCATAACCCATTCTCTTCTCAAGCACAAATCTATTTTCGATTTTTATAGTCAGTGCATTTTGAACGACAATGGCTGATCGTAAGGCCTTCACCGGCAACATATGTCTCATCGGTTACGCTGCTAAGAAAGAGGTCACCATGAACCCAATGCCAATTTCAGCACTACAAAGATGCCCTTATTTATCAAGTATGGAATATGAGATGATATTATATACATGAAAATCGACGATCACTGGCCAACACTTTGCCTATACAGCAGCCAAAGGAAAATACCATACATTTCAAAGAAGCCTAAATCATTCCTCCATGCCTCAAATGCAACAACCATCTTCCATTCAAAATCAGGGACAATTGTTCAACACTACCTCTCTTATTCTGTGCAATCTACCAATGACAGGTCAATCCGTTAAATTTGTGGTAAAAGAGGACATACTGTTTTTGATTGTTATCACCGGTTTGATTTTTCTTTCCAGGGGTGATTACCACATGTTAATCTAGCTACTATAGACCTTTTGAAGCAAATAACTCCTATGATCAACATATTTGGTATGCAGACAGTGGGACAAACACTCGCATTACTGCCAATGCTGCAAATTTAACGAACAGGAGTCCTACGTCCTACGAGGATGATGATAATATCCAAGTTGGTATTGACTCGAGTTTAGATATGGAACATACTGGTTCTTCAACATTAAATTTTGATCATTCCTCTTTTAAACTAAAAATGTCTTTAACTGTTCAAATGCTTCTGCCAATCTATTATCAATTAACCGTCATGATAATGATTGTTATTTTATCCTGACTGGAATTGATTTTTGTGTAAAGGACAACAAGACTGATCGCATTCTGCTTTAGGATCTGGTTGAAAATGGACTTTATTCTCTTGATGGTCACAAGAGCTCCTCCAACAAATTGTGGTGTCTTACTGCCATTTTAGGAATAAATATCTCGTTTACTCACTGGCACAATCGCCTAGGCCACCATCCTAAGTCCACATTAGATCATTTGAGTAGTTATTTATTGCTATCTAAATCTTCTGGTAAGTTAAGTTTTGTAGTTCATGTTCGCCAGGTAAAGCTACAAAACTCCTTTTTGCTGACTCCATCAGAAAATCTACAGGACCTTTACAGTTAGTTCACACTGATGTATGGGTGTCTCCAATAAATTCAGTAGGTGGTTATAGTTATTATGTTCTCTTTGTCGATGATTTTAGTAGATTCACAAGGATGTATCCCATGAAATATAAATCTGATGTATTTCTGTTTTTTCAACAGTATAAGGATCTTGTAGAAATTTAGGCCTTGTTTGACACCCATTTTAGGGGAGAAATTTGATTTAGAATAGTGATTGATGGAAGAATGTGTGGTTAAAAAGTAAGGAGAATTTTTGGGTTTATGTGTAATATTATTTTATTGAAAAAATGAGTGGTTGAAATGAAGAAAGAGAAAAAAAAAATGAATGTCAAACAANAAAAAATGAGAAAGAGAATGAGAAAAAAATAGGTGTCAAACATATGCTTATTCTTTTCTAAAATTCAACAATTACAATCAGACAATGGCGGAGAATACCTTTCGAATGAATTTAAATCTTTTTTAGCACAACATGGGATATTTCATAGAATAACTTGTCCATACACATCACAACAAAATGGTATCTCGGAAAGAAAACATCGGCATATTCAAGAAACTAATTTAACTTTATCAGCAATATCACACTTAACAAATAAATATTGGGCTGATGCTTTTCTCACATGTGCTCTTCATAAATCGTTTGCCAACCAGAGTTCTAAACAACTTGTCACCATATTACGTGCTTTATAAAAGACTATCATCATACAATCCCTTAGGACATTTGGATGCTCCTGTTATCCCTATTTACGTCCCTATGAAGATAATACGTTGTCTTTTTGTAATAAGCAATGCCTTTTCCTAGGATATGCTGGCTAAAAAAAGGGATATATGTGCTTAGATTTTGAAACTGGTATGGTCTATATTTCAAGGCAGGTAGTTTTTTATGAGGACTCATTTCCAGCAAAGGTTCAATGACTTATTTCTTCAGACAATACAACCATGATGTTACTAGGAGGCTATCTGGAGCAGATTATAGTGGGAAAAAAATTGATTTTCAGACCGTTGGCCATCAATTTAGCTGTGTTTTTTTGACTTTTATTTCTTTCATGTGTGGCCTACATTGAAAAGCAACATAAGAAAATCCCAGTTTTGGAGCTTTTAATCGGGGCTAGACAGCCCCTAAG